GGGTAACAGAAAGGGAGAGAAATGGAGAGGAAATGAGAATGTTTTTTATCGCTATTGGAAATGTGAAGGATTACAGTGAGACCTGGAGAAATGTTCACTCTCACTCTCACATGGCAGGATAACACTTACATTCACCCCACATCTCACAAAATGTCACACAAAACAAGGCACACCGCAAATGGATGAGTTTAGCTGTATATTAGTTTTACAGTGTCCCATGTTGCTTGTCTGAGTGCAAGTGCTCTGTCTTAGAACCACTGACTAGAAAAATGATTTAACTGGATGTAAACTGAATTACCCATAAAACAATTATAGCACACTATCTTTGTTTACAAGGCGTACTAGTTTTAAAAACATTATTTTAAAATCTTTTTTTTTTTAAAATCTAATTATTTAAAAGTTTTATTTTAGATTTTTTAAAAATATATAAGTAAAAAAAGCAATGTATTCAAGTTGCGAAAAAAATAATTTAAGATATGTTTTTTAAATATCATTCAAGTTGTATTAAAAATGTAACCAAAACATTTTAAAATCTTAAATATTGTTTTAACAATAAAAAATTTAAATAATTGTTAATAATTTTAAGAAACTGACTAAAATAAAAATAAAACAAAAAATGTATTGATGAAAAAATATAAAATGTTTAAACAATTAAACTTATATATATATATATATAAAACTGAATATTTCTATAAAAAATATATGTGACTGGAGCGGTTTTAGGGTGCTGTCGAGCCAATTTTTCCCACCTTATTTTTTTTTCGTGTGGAATTAGTGCTCTGCATTTAACCCATCCAAAGTACACACACACAGCAGTGAACACACACCGTGAACACACCCCCGGAGCAGTGGGCAGCCATTTATGCTGCGGCGCCCGGGGAGCAGTTGGGGGTTCGCTGCCTTGCTCAAGGGCACCTCAGTCGTGGTATTGAAGGTGGAAGAGAGCGCTGTACATTCACTCCCCCCACCTACAATCCCTGCCGGTACGAGACTCGAACCCGCAACCTTTGGGTTACGAGTCCGACGCTCTAACCATTAGGCCACGA